TATCTTTCAGGAGGTCTGATCTCGACCCCTCCTTTGAATTTCAGACATCGAGACAGCTCACTATGAAACTGCAAGAAAACAGCTTTTCAATCCCAGAGATAATTTATGTTTCAAATATTCTGACAAGTGCATATACAGCTTACCAAGGCCCTACCTGTTTAGCAGGGTGAGCCTAACCAAGAGCAAGGGTGGTGGGGAGAGGATGCTGCAGATGGGGGGGGGGGGCAGGGAGGTGCTAAACATTTTTTTAAACAGCCCAATTTAAACTGGGGTAGACAACAGCTAACACACTCAGCCGGACTTTTTGAAATCCTCTCAACAAGTGCATTTTTTTTTAAGAACATGCTACCTGAACGATGCACACAAATCATTCTAACATATAGGAACATCCAGAATGAGAAAAGAACTCAGGTATGACCCCCAGCTAAAGTCAGCTTCCATATGCCAGGAGTCAGTGCATGAAAGAACAAACTTTCAACCTGCATTCAAAAAGACCCTGAGGATTAGCGGACATTAATTATCTCACTCTAAATGCAAGTTAGTGACTCTCCTTTAAGCTAACCCCATCTAGTTCACTAATTGATGGATGACCACTGATACACCTGTATTTGCATTTCAGCGGTAAAAAGACTAGCAGGGTTTTCAGCACGGAAGAGAGACGGTTTGCCAAGTCTTTTCAAAACGTCAATATGCTTCAAGTAACACCAAAGCTGAGAGATTCCTCTTGATTTCCAAACTGTCTAGGTGGCCTGGGTGGTTTTCTGCCGGCAGCAGCCTCCTACCTTTAGTTTGTGTGCCTGCATCCATGCGGGGGGATTAATTAGCCGGGCTGGAGCTGAAGGAGGCTGTCGTGACGAGCCCAGTGGCGATTGGCCGCCCGCCTGCCTGGCCCTGCCTTTATAATTTCCACACGAGTGCATCTGGGCTCTTAGACAAACCGACAGCGGCTTCCTCTGACACACACGCGCGCACACTCACCCCGACGCACACCCAGCACACTTCTCCTCCATCTCATTAACGTCCTGCACACACGATGAGTACAGGCAGGCGTAAATAAACACGGACAGGGGTGATTATTTTGACTACTGGAAGAGCTTTGCGGGGTCTCAGCGCAACTTTTGTTTTTATTACGGAGAAGGTGCTCTCTCCATGCGTTTCTCTCACTCACGGATTGTGTAGAAGGAAGAGAGGCAGAGCGAGGGGGGAGAATCACCTTTCACTTTAAGCCCGGCGGGGCTCAGAGATAAAAGGAAGGGGGACGCGGCCGCGGCGGGGAGAGCCGCGCACCTCGGAGACCCTTGCACCCGTTTCTGAGCGCCGCGGCCCGTTTCTCCACCGAAGTTGGCTCCAGCTCTAGCAGCCGCATTGGATCCCACAGCCTACTGCGAGACTCCGGTGTACAATCCGGATCTCTGCCCCAACATGATCGCGGCCCAGGCCAAGCTGGTCTACCATCTGAATAAGTACTACAACGAGAAATGCCAAGCCAGGAAAGCTGCCATTGCCAAAACTATCCGGGAAGTCTGCAAAGTCGTCTCCGACGTGCTGAAGGAGGTGGAGGTGCAGGAGCCCCGCTTCATCAGCTCTCTCAACGAGATGGACAATCGCTACGAGGGCCTCGAGGTTATCTCCCCCACCGAGTTCGAAGTGGTGCTGTATCTTAACCAAATGGGGGTGTTCAACTTCGTGGACGACGGCTCGCTGCCCGGCTGCGCGGTGCTGAAGCTGAGCGACGGGCGCAAGCGGAGCATGTCCCTCTGGGTGGAGTTCATCACCGCCTCCGGCTACCTCTCGGCGCGCAAGATCCGGTCCAGGTTTCAGACGCTGGTGGCTCAGGCGGTGGACAAATGTAGCTACCGGGATGTGGTAAAGATGGTGGCAGACACCAGCGAAGTGAAACTGAGAATCCGAGATAGGTACGTGGTGCAGATCACCCCGGCTTTTAAATGCACCGGGATCTGGCCGAGGAGTGCTGCCCACTGGCCACTGCCCCACATCCCCTGGCCGGGGCCCAACCGGGTGGCGGAGGTCAAAGCGGAAGGGTTCAATCTCTTGTCCAAGGAGTGCCACTCCCTGGCCGGCAAGCAGAGCTCGGCCGAGAGCGACGCCTGGGTGCTGCAGTTCGCCGAAGCGGAGAACAGACTGCAGATGGGGGGCTGCAGAAAGAAATGCCTCTCCATTCTCAAGACCTTACGGGATCGGCACCTCGAACTGCCCGGCCAGCCCCTCAACAACTACCACATGAAGACTCTGGTTTCCTACGAGTGTGAAAAGCACCCCCGGGAGTCGGACTGGGACGAATCGTGCCTGGGCGATCGGCTGAACGGGATTCTGCTGCAGCTCATCTCCTGCCTGCAGTGCCGGCGGTGTCCCCACTACTTCCTACCCAACTTAGATCTCTTTCAAGGCAAACCTCACTCGGCCCTGGAGAACGCTGCCAAACAAACGTGGCGACTGGCAAGAGAGATCCTGACCAACCCAAAAAGTTTGGAAAAACTTTAGAGGGTGACTTAATCGAGAGCCGAAACGATTCTTCTTCTCAAAGTCCTGATTGAGTGTAAACTTCCTGTTAGATTCCTAATATTACGCTCCACAGTGCAAACAATCTCTTCCTTAAAAAGGAACCGTCACACACCGTGTAGGCATCCTCTCGCCCACTCCTCTGAGCGGAGGAAAGCTAGGAGAAGCGATGGAGAACACCTTAAACCCATAAGTATTATAAGACTTCTTCACACCGGTTTCACATCTCTCTTGAAAAAGTACAGGGCAGCACCCGGAAAAGAGCCCAGCTGCAATGCAAGACTACAGAGAACACTCTGCCTAACTACCAAAGGATTATTAGCAATCCTGGTGACTTAGGTGCATCTGTCTGTGAGTAACACGCGGTCTGGATACGCCATCGGAAGCCAAGTGTAATGTATATTTTTGGTTTGTAACAAATATTGTGATCTCACATTGTCTTTGAAAGTGTGGATATTGGTGTTTTGTGATTTGGTGAACAGAATTTAAATTGCCATTTTGGATACTTCCAGACATTTTCCACTAACAAAGATACCATTTAAAGGTAGATTCCCTCCTGGTACTTTTACCTGTCTTTGAAAGTGTCTGAACTTTAAAAAGTTTACATTTTGCTTCAAATATATTGCTTGTTCTATTTCTGACATTCCATAAATATACTTGAAATGTTATTTAAATATATTCAAAGAAATTTGAATTCAGCTTATATAATAACGCTTGAATATCTGAATTATATATTTGAAAAATGCACTTGAAATACACTGGATAATTACTTTTTGTGATTTAGATTTAAATTTCTGTTGCTGGTTTTTATTTAATTAGAAGCTAATAAATGAAGTAAAATACAACTTGTGTCTCACTTTCAATTGTTTTTCTATCAAAAGATGTAATGCTCCATTTTGAACACACTTGAATGTTTTAAATACTTTGAGAAACATGCTAAAGAAATCATTAAAATATGACCTTAAACCAAGGAGAAAAGCCCTTTTTATATAACTACAGAGGATAATCTATGTCCACCTTCTAGCTCACTTATAAGACAATTCATTTAAATTTATCCTTGAGAATTTCTGTAGCACTTTTCATACTACAAGGAAGAAATCTATTTTGACATAAAAGATTATTGAGTTAAAAGTCAGACTAAGAGAAAATGAATTTAATAAAATTGACAATGGATCTTTTGAAATTTGTATATGAAAACAAGCTAATAAAATGAAGATAATCTCTGATCGATATATTTTATGTCAAACAGTATTTTATGTGATATAGGTTCCATTAGTAAAATAAACTAATCATAAATTTAAAAATTCCCCTTTATAGGGCAAACTAATGATAAAAGTATAAGGACAAACTTGAAATTATTTAAAATCAAACAGCACATTCAAGCTCATTTTTAAAATTCAGTGCTTTTGGAGCTAAAAATCCTGTGTCCATCCTTCACAGCATTTTAATAGTCAACAAGTGTGGAAATGGCTGATCACCTATGGGCCTAAAGTTAGTTAAATCAGGTAGTGGTGAACTGTAGTATCTCAGTTGCTAGCCTACACATACTATTTAATAATGCTTTATTTCTAGGTAGCAATTAAATACAAATAATAAAGTTCTGGATCTATAGGGGTGGTTTGTGTATTTTAGAATACATGCCTCTGAAAACTCCTTAAGGGGAAGATCTTCGTAAAATGATGCTAGAATTTCTGCTATGACTTAAATGCTCTTGAATTCTTAACCTCAGGAAAGAAGTTTGCCAATTGCATGGTAACATCAAAGTTACAACAATAAAAATGGATCTCAGAAAAAAGTGCTGAAGTGTAGAACTGCTCTAATACTCAAGTATTTAAAATCTACACAATGAGATTTACTAAGTAAAGATTTATGAATTTTAAATGATCCAAATATATATTTTCTGGCATTACTCCCAAAGAATACAACCTTTAAACCTCTGAGCACTGATATATACCATGTAAATACATAAAAAATGAAAGCTTCTCAGAGTATCATTTCCTCTTAAATCCATAGGTAAAATCCAATGTTATTTCAGGAGATGAAAAATGGGATGTATAATGCAGATGGATTTATATTCAAACGGTTTTCTTTTCCAGTTTCCTTATAATCTTTCAATAAATAATAATTCATATTGTAATCTGTACTTTTGGAAACCAAAAACGAACTTAATAAATTTCACTAGACCTTCCCAGTCTTCCCAGAGAGCCCGAGATGCTGTACCCTAGGGACTTGGGAGCAATTGGCTTAACTTCTACATATGCCCAAGTGCACACAAAGACAGTCACAGAATGACCGTTAAAATGTGCATGCTCTGGTAATACAAGATTCCATAAAAGAGCATGTTATTTCATTCATTTTAGTTTCCATGAGAAAGATAAGAAAGTGCCCTCTTCCCCCACTGTCACTTAAAACCCAGCAGAATTGAAAACCACCTCCTGCCACAAAGCCACCATTACTGTACACGGAATCCTTGGACTCACTTTGGTGTCGATCTTCTTGAAGGCAGGATCATCCTCATCTACCTCGAAGTAGATTTCTGTCGTGGTGATGGAGAGGGTCCCCTTGGCCACCACCACTGGCGCGATGAGCTGAGCCGGGGTGCTGAGAACCACTGGGCCTGCAAGACAAGCGCACCGTCAAGCTGAGCCCCTCCGGCCTGCTCCTGCTCCCTCCCAGAAGGGTATCCCAGATTTTTATTTTAAAAGCTGCAAAAGGAAGAACCGTGCCTCTATGATGCGGCACGCTCTTTCCATGAGAGAGGGCTGCTTGGATTTCTGTACATTACCTTACAACGACACTAGAAATAAATAATTCGATCAAACCCCAAGAGGTCAGAATACCGAATAAGCGACCCTTAACACTGGAGTCTGCAACCTGCGACTAGAGATCCCACACGGTTGGCAAGGCTCTGCCATTAACCGGGTTAAATGTGCAGAACGCGTCCCAGGCCGCCCAGCTCTCTCCACGGGCGCCCACGCGGTGAGCACTGGCCCCAAGGAACCGCGGCCCGAGAGGCCGCGGCTCGCTGTTTGCCACGCCAGGCCAGAGTGGCAAAGGCAAAGGACCCAAACATGTGCCGTCCGTCCCGCCAAGGGGCTTGCACCTTGGCGAAGACGAATTTATCGCGGTGTTCTGAGGAGCGCCGCACACGCGCCTACACCCAGGGACACCCGAAGTTCTGATCCCGGGAAGGACGACGCTCTCAGCAGCGCTTTCCTCACAGAGAATGGGACACAAGTGATGAACATGGGAGACGCGTTAAGAAAACAGTTCTCTGAAAGGCGTCCCAAAGTGCCAACTCTCAACTTGGGAGAAGACACTTTGAGGAAATGTGTCTATTAGGTGCTTACTTGGAATTCCCGCAAACTAAAAACTCAGGTTCAAATTCAGGGATTTCACGTCGCAGAATATGAATTCAAAGGCGGATTACTGAAATCCCCCCTTCGAAATCTCTCAAAGGGCGTGCTTTCTTCGGGGACATCAGAAACCACGCGTTCTCTTTGCGGCGGCGAGGGCGCATCCGAATCCCTCCCGCGTCGCCTCTCGGGCACGCACAGGCAGGCCAGACACAGCCAGTGGGGAAGGCAGTCGCCCACCAGAGCCCGCGGCCGCGCACCGTTCCCGCGGCGGCCACCGCCACCGCCACCGCCACCGCCGCCGCCGCCGCCGCCGCCGCCGCCGCCGCCAGGGGATCCGGCCGGGCCGAGCCCGGGTGAGGGCGGCGGCGGCGCCGTCCGTGGTCCCGGGGAGCAGCGCACGCCGAACCTTGCCGCCCTGGCTGTTGAGACCGAAGGCCACGCCGGCCCTGTCGCGGTTACAGGGGTGGCCAGGAAACACCTTGGGCCACTGTCAGCTTTCAGCCAGGTCGGACAGTGGGGACCGGACTGCCCTTTCCCCGTCTGACTGCCCTCGCCGCCCCGCTGAGCCCTGGGGCTCGCCGAGGGACTCCCGGCCTCGGTCTCGGGCGGGCTGGGTCCGCCGCGCAGCCGAGCGGAGTCGGGGTCCACTCGGCTCCACAAGGCTTTTCTTTGCAAAGGGCGAGGCGGTCGATCTGAAGCGCCACTTTAAAGGCTCATCAATCTTAATCTAGGTTGCTCAAGTAATTATGCCCGAATCTCTTGTACGATTACAAGTGGATTTGGGTTTCTATTCCCCAGGCCCTCCTTTGTGTTTATTGGAGGGTCTGTGCGCGCGCTCGGCGGCGCCTCCCGCCTCGCGCGCCCGCCTCCGCAACCCCAGCGCCGGGCCGGTTCGAACCGCTCCCTTAACCCTTCCGAGGCCGGGTCTCCCGCGGGCGCCGCGTTCCCGCTTCCGCTCCGGGAGAGCCGCGCGGGCACTGTCGGCCCTGAGGAGGTGAGAAAGAAGGCGACGCGATTCACCTCGCAGGCGACGTGTCGTCGTGTACCTCGCGGGCCCTTGCTGAAACCTCAGCAAAGTCTGCCTTCTCAACAGAGGACTATGGATTTATGGTTAAACAGAGGTTTCTGGCATTTGGAGACGAAGAAGGGTCAAAAACATTAAAAATGGCGAACCGCTTCTTTCTCTTCAAAAATAATTGAACATACACAACAATTAAATTGGGACAATTTGAGAAAAGAAAAGATCATTAAGCACATTATCGAAACCATACTCACTGATTTACTGAAACATATTACAGATTTTAAGTACACAATCCCATGAAGTTTCAAGGGGGAACACATTTTCTCTACTTAATTCTCTGCGTTTCTCAGAGGGAACTGTGCGTCCATTTGATTCTACTCCAATTTTGTTCAATGGAGTTGAGGTTTTCTGGGGGTTTATAAAAGGGTTTCGAACTGATCCTTCCGTAAGAAAGACACATCATGAAATATTCAGCTTTAGTAGTGTGTCATTTCCCCCCCTGTCCTTTGGAAATCTCCAATTACAACTTCCAATTCCATAGCATGTTTAAGGAGCCCTGAGTCTTTTTGTTGTAGCCTTCAGGGAGCAAACCAGCCGCAGAGAGGATACGGAGTTAATCCACTACAGCAATAGAGAGAGGGGATTATGTTTTAATCGCCTTCGGGGGAGCCTCTGGATTTTAGGGATCCGATATTAAAATGTTTACATTAGGCACAATCACAAACCTGCAGATCTTCCATATGGTTTCTGGTTATTTGAAAACCTGGGATCTCTCTCTCTCTCTCTCTCAAAAAAAAAAAAAAAAAAAATTTAGTACCAATGAGATGCTGCTCAAGCTGATTCTAGTCTAGAAGATAATTTTAAAAACTTCAAATTTAGCTTCCTAAACTTTGCTTGGAGTAGTGAGTTGGGGAATGAGCCTAAACATATTCATGCCAATCACTGCTATAAGGATAAATTAATAAAATGACCTCAGCACACACAAAGGTAAAGTAATGATACTAAAGGATGGTAAAACAAATGAATAGGGCAAAATTTCTTCCTACGGTATTGATATTTGATTTAACTGATTTAAAATTTCACCATCTAAAGTGACAAGAAGGAAAATTACTGTTATTTACTTTTTACAGTTGGTAATACAATGTTTAAAAACACTGATCTATGACTATTTTTCTGTTAGTGATACTACTTAATATTAATTTGCTAGTTCAAAATCTGAACTAAAACAAAGATAACCCAAGCATGATGAAAAGAGCCTTTAAAAGAAGGAACTTTTCATTAGATTCATTAGTTTGCCATCAGCTGAGATGGTAAATCTCATTGTGGACTCAAGAGTAGAGAGTACACATGTTTTATATTTGAAAAGGGAACTATTCATCAGATATATTTCTAAAGTAGAATGTTAAATACTTGTGGGTTTGGATTATTTTGCTGAAAATCAAAATTCCAAGCCTAGAAATCTTAAAATAATGATATATTGACATTTTAATAGAACTTTACAGTTTACAACATTCTTTTACGTTTTTACTATAATAGCCCTATTTCCACAATTTTGGGCTATGGATGCATCAATGCTTTCCTGCCAAAGACCACCAGGGCCACATTTATGGTTGAACAAGTTGGGTTGATGCTCATTGCAGTGAAGGAGACAGCAAAAGATGTGAACTTTGGACTTTGGTTCAAGGGTGCAGATATTTGCTCTGGACTGGGCTGTCAGGGAGCAGGGACAACTTTGTGATTGGGTAACTTAATAAAGCTTATCTGGGCGCTACATGAAAAGAAGTAGCAGTTACTCCTATTAGCCAGGAGAGGGGGATATTTGGTATTTTTGTGGCACACAAAATACCTTGTTTTTGTCTGTGCTTAGACAAAATTATGGTTTTTTTTTTTTTTTCTTTTTGGTCTCAGATCATCATCCTGTGCCCTTATCTGATGTTGGTGTTCTGTAAGGTTGCATACATCCAACAAGAGAGTTGTGAGCTCCAGGCCATATCCCAACACTAGGAGCCCTAGATACAGGTCAGACCAATTCTCAAAGATTAGAGGCTGCCTTTTTTCCCATCAGATGAAGAAATTAATCATTTTTGTATGGAGGTCAATAACATTCTAACTTTTAAAAGGCAATTATGCCAATTAAATTTTCAAGCCATTCTAACCTTGTCTACACATTTGAATACAAAACACAGCAATGAATATATCTATTTTTTATATATATGGAGAAAAAATGTTGAAGTTTAATTAGAATTGGCATTACTAGATTTTTTGATGACTTTCACTTGGAAAAACTACAATGAGGGTACAAGAAATTGCAATGTATTTTAGGATCACTTGACTATTTCCTACACTAGTAATATTAAGAAAACTTTAAGTAGCTATATAGATTGTCTTCAAACTCAACTACTTTGAAACCAGGTGTTTAATTGGCCTTTAGAACATATAAAAGACCATTATTTGGGGATAACAAACATTGGCTAGCCTTAGCGATATTATTAAACTTACAATCTGATATTATTTACATCTGAAACTAACCTGAATGTCTTTATGTCCAGTGTGAAAGGATATTATTCCAAAAAAATTTAAGGCCAAAACATAATTACAGAGTAAATTTTTATGATTACTTCTGTAATGTGATAAAAATTGTGGGAAAATAACTCACTACGTGAGTTACTAATCATATCTAAAATTATCTATCGCGGCTTTGGACTGATTTTTAAGTATGGTACTGTTACCCATGGCATACATAAAATTAGTTCTATTTATATTAATAAAAGCTTTTTAAAAGTATAGTACTGTTACTTTAAAAAATGCGCTCCCATAGAACTAAAAGCATTTACCTCAAAATGATTTAAAATAAACTACTGAAAAATAGAGAAAGCTGGGATTTTGTTTTGAAATCTGAGAGAAGCTTTAGGCATTTAGGAAAGTGGAGGTGTTGGTGTATTTGCCTAGGGAGAGGGAGGGTCTCCAAAGAACACTGCAAGAAATCTTAGATTTCTATTAGCCACCATAGTTTCTTGGGTTTCAGGCATTTGAACTGCCTCAAGGAATAAAGAAATCATAGCAACAAAAATCTCTCTACAGTGACTGTTTTCTTTGCATAACGAGAATATTATTTTTCAAATAAACTATTAGAATAATGATCCTCTGAAATTTTCAAAAACTTTTCTTGTGTGGACATAGCCACAGAATGCTTTTACTGGAACAATAAAAAGATAATGTGAAGAACTCATAATATAT